CACCAGCCGCATCATCATCACCATCACCACCACCATCAGCAGCAGCTGCAGCCGCCGCCGCCACCGCCGCCGGCACCACCGCACGCGGGGCTGGCGCTGGGGCGAGCCGTGCTGGGGCCGCACAGCCCGGGGCTAGCGCGCAGCCAGGGACCCGGGCAGCAGCAGCTGCTCCTGCACGCGTCGGCGAGGACTCGATCCGGCGGCACGGGCAGCGCTCCCGACGTCAGGCGCAACGCGTCCATCCCCATCCCCGGGCGGACGGCGTCGTTGGCAGCAAGCGGCGGTGCCAACGGGCGGCAGGGAGCCGGAGCGAGCCCCGGGGCCCACGGGCATGGGAACGCGCATGGACACGGGGACACGGGAGCGTCGGGGTCCGCGCAGCACGAAGACGCGGGGGGGTCTGGGCGTGCGGGACGGCGCGCGGGGAGCCGCGGGTCGGCGAGGAGGGACGAGGGCGCCTCGCTCTCTCGCTCGCTGCCCTTGCACCTCAGCCCCAGGATATTCGGTGGTAAGAGCGCTCGCTGCGGCTGCTGCTGCTGCTGCTGGTGAAGGTGGTGCTGGTGGTAATAATTCTGATGGTGTCGATGATGCCATCACACATCTACGCGGAGTCAATGAGGACATGCGTTGCGTCACTCGCAGACAGACCTCCCCTGGCTGCACACAGTTGTGCCTTGCCCGTAACACCGTATGCTGCGTTTGTTCATTCATTCATTCACTCACGTACGCATTAGTTGGACGCGTTAATGCATTCCTTCACTCGCCATTACTGTCCATTAATGTAGTCGTTCATATGTATATCAGTTCTTTTGTTCAATGTATTCACGAACCGTTCAGTCATGTATGCCTCGAGTCGTTCATTCGTTCAGTCGTCTCTACATCCACCGACTCACCCGTTACGTCTCAGGGTGTCCGTGAATGGGGTCGCTTCGTCTGCTCGGCCTGACCTTGATCACGCGAACACGGCCGTGATGCGAACACGGCCGAGGCAATCGCCCTGCACTATTCAGGATGTGCGGTCCGTGCGTGCGGTGGCGGTGATGGCGATGGTGGTCATGATGCTGATGATGATGGTGGTGGTGGTGATGGTGATGGCCCGAATTGTTTGCACACTCCACCGGATTCTGGCCTAAAATATCAAATTATTGATGAGCAAACAAGCCGCGAGTGTAACCATGTTTACATGAGTGGGCGTGGGGGGGAGACGAAACAGTTAATATTCTTAGGTTTTTTTCGGTAAAGTCACGTAGGTAAAAAATTAAAATTAATAAAAGTAAAATAAAATAAAGTCACAAACCGTACCTCTCCATAACAAAGGCTCAGCCTTTTGTTATGCAGTCTATTCTTAGTCTTAAGCCTCACCATACCATATTAATAAAAAGTGTGCCGTACTTGGCCCTTCCCCTCTTCAACCATTATATATACGGAGTGGTAGTTCTTGTAATCTCTCATTTACTTGATACAGCTGTCGTGGCTGTGACGGTTCCACCTGAAGACGGAAGCTTGTGTTGCCTCCGAAACGTCGTGATTTTTATTTTATTTTACTTATATTAATTTTAAATTTTTACCTACGTGACTTTACCGAAAAAACCTAAGAATATGAATCCTTGCAGTCACGAAAGCTTCAAATCTAGAAACAGTTAATGTTAAACAAACTTTAAACAAATCCTAACATGAATAGGCAGACGATTAGCCTCCTTCACGCGCCTGTCCCTTCACATACAACGTGCACAATGTTTTGTTTCGCAAAACCCATCAGCGACACGGCCTTTCGGGGAATAAACCTTCCGGCAGCCCCGCCTGGCTGCCAGAGGGGGTTACGGCAGCCCTGCCCTGCCGATGAGCAAGAGGACGGGCGAACCTTCTCAGCGGTGTCCTCGGCCGTAATGTCGCTGCGTTTATTCACGACGCGTGGCCCGCGGTCAGCCGCCCATCCGACACTCTGATCGCAGCATGAGCGCGAGGCAGCGTCGTCTGTTCCGACTCGATCGGGGCCGGCTGATGCACCAGGGCTCTCTGCTGGCGCAAAGGCTCCGGACATGTGAACAGTCGTGGAACACGGCAGGCGCGCCGCGCACACGTTTGCGGGCTTACTGGACGAGAACGAGCTCTGTTCGCGTGCGAAACGCCACGCTGGAGCTTTAGAAGCGAGCGGACGTGCTTGAGATCATCACCGCGTCGATGTGCGCGTCCGTGCGTGCGTGCGACCAAGATGTGTGGACATCTGTCGAGGCCATGCGGCTACACCTCGTTTAAGTGCCGCACTGGGTGTGAGCGGTTTTATTGGTCGGGACGGATACGTTGCAGGCGGATATGCGACGTTGTTTCTGTATCGACCAACTCGCAGTTGGCTGTGTTCAGAGCTCGCAATCGCTGTGGTTAGAGCTCACAATCGAAACATATAAAGGGGCCAGGTCTGGGGGTGGACTTCGTCTTTCGTGCGTCTGGCGCGGTGGTGGATGGTGGGTGGGGTGGTCAATAAATCAGGTACCATGTTGTGGCAATTTGACAACGGTGGCGATGCTGTGTGGTCAGACTGAGATCCACGTCGACGCGGATCTCCCCAGCACTGCGCACTGTTAATCGTGGCCTGCTCTCCCCCGCCACATCCCCGTTGAGCGAGTCGCACCTGGGAGTTGAGAGTAAAAATACCGCCGCGCGCTGGAGAGAGAGAGAGATGGCGAGAGCCACGCGTCCGCTCCCATGTGGTGCAACAGGTCGCTCATCGCCAGGGCCTCCATCATTATCATAATTATCCATAATAGAGGTTTTTTCGGTTAGATCGCATAACACCCCCTCCCATTTCCCCCCAAAAAAACCGTCTATTATGGATATTGGTCGCGAAATCCTAATTGTTAAATGATCATCATTATTGTAATTAACTTATTTACATTATCTAGAAATGCGACACGGAGCCGTCTGGCTTTTTTCAGTAGGGTTGGGTTTTTTTATTATGAAGGAAATGTTCAGCTCTTTTAATGATCAGTGTGTATTATACCAGTGGAGGAGAATAGCGGAGCTGTCCGCGACATGGGGTTTTGCGCGAGGGGGCAACACTCGATCCCCGTACAAATGGATATTATTACTCCTGGCTTTCAAGTACAATTTACTAAACTAGAATTTCGATGGCCCAGCTCCTCCGGAGGGCTTCCACGGCGCTTGGCGCCTCCCCCGTCGCCCCCACTGATGTCCTCTTCTCCCCGGCCCCCACCCCCCATGTGTGCAGATACTACTGACTCTATGGTATGTCGGGTGTGTAGGCATATATGCCTACCAAATAAAAAAAAATTTGAGCGGGAGCGAGGTGAAACATTTTGGGGGGGGGGTACATTTTTGGAAACCTGTTGGATCAACTTTTTACCCCCACATCTGGGGGGGGGGGGTGGGGGGAGGGCGATAGGGTTCCACTTTCTATAACTTTTTTATTCAGGCCTTCTGAAAGGCTATTATAATTTAGTTGACGGATAAACGGACAAACGGAACGCCGGGGTTTTATAACAGAAGTGCGGTCTCACCCTGGAAGGTGGTGCTTTCACACCGGATCACTCGAGGCACATTTGTCGCGGGTCCCTATAAAGCATCACGTGCTTAACGTTTAAGGGCCATAAATGTTAATTTCGCGTTCCGTAAGAGGAGTTCGAAATTCTATTCCCGCGCAGCAACACGTTCAGGAGCTAAATGGCAATGTCGAGGTCTGCTGGCCACGAGGAGAGGGCTTCGGGAGAGAGTTCTTGTGTTTTTAAATCCTTTATATTAAGTTCACTTGCTTGCGCGCTTACGACCGTGCAAATCTTTCGGTCGTGTTTTAACCCACTTCCCGTGATCCAATCGAGCTGACATTTTGCACACAGACTCGTTGTGCGTGACAATTTATTTTCGTGAAAAAAAATTCCAAAATTTTGCACTTTTTTGGATTTTTTTTAAATATTTCATTTAAAATACCAATGTGATAAAAATGAAACTCTTACTCAAGAAAAACAGAAATGAATAATAAAATAAAACCGATGCCACGCATATAAAGGATTTATAGTGAAAAACTTTGTTTTTACGGGTTACATTTTGTTGTTGTCCCTCTTTTGTTAAAGGAGCGTAGACTACAGAGGTTCACTCCACGGCCCATAGTTTGTGTTGCATGGCCACAATCCCACGACTGTGGCTTGTCTTTAATGCATCTCTTTATATATATCTCCCATGGGTCTCTGTGTATCTCGATGGGTCTCTGTGTATCTCTATGGGTCTCTGTGTATCATCACGAGTATCTCCATGTGCCTCTATCTGTTCACTCTTGTGGCCCATAGTTTGGGTTGCATTACCAAATTGCACGACTGTGGCTTGTCTTTAATGCATCTCTTTATATGTATATCTCCCATGGGTCTCTGTGTATCTCGATGGGTTTCTGTGTATCTCTATGGGTATCTGTGTATCTCCACGAGTATCTCCATGTGCCTTTATCGGTTCACTCTTGTGGCCCATAGTTTGGGTTGCATTACCAAATTGCACGACTGTGGCTTGTCTTTAATGCATCTCTATATGTATCTCCCATGGGTCTCTGTGTATCTCTATGGGTCTCTGTGTATCTCCACGAGTATCCCTGTGTGCCTCTATCGGTTCACTCTTGTGGCCCATAGTTTGTGTTGCATGACCACATTCGCACGACTGCGACCCGTGCCTTTCATTTCCCGTGAAGGAGATGTCACACGTCGGCCTGGTGATGCTCTGACGCGGTCAATGATTTCCACCGGTGACGTCAAGGAAGAACGTCTGAGAAGTTCAGTGTAGGCCTTAGAGGTTGAACTTTCGGACCTTAAGCGAACACGAAGTCAACTGGCAGCCAAAGCCGTGCAGTGGGCAGACGCAGGGCCTGGAGAGCGATCTTCACTCACCCCATGGCTCCCAACGTCAAGTCCCATCGTGGCAGAGGTTGGAGTGCCTCACTCAACACAACGTGTCAGTAACACCGTGGCCTTAAGAGGTGACGGTGTTATAAAAAGTGGCATTGCGGGAAACGGTCTCTTATTCACAAAGACCTCGAAACAAAAGATGAATGCTGCATGCAGTGGAGTGGAGTGAGGGGGGGTGTGTGTCGAGGCAGAGCTCGGCGCGCCGTGCAGTCGCACCATCATCTGGACGCGCCATCTGGAATAGAGCAGCGCAGAGTGAGTGAACGAGTGCTGCTAGATGCCTCTGGTGGGCATGGTGGTGGTGGTGATGGAGGGGGTCGGTCACGTGATGCGCATGAGCTCATCGCGCGTGTATATTTAGCCGGACAGGCTGCTGGAATCTCCCGTGGCGACAACGTGGAGGCCGTGGGTCGGATTGGAGTCTCGGCGTGCGCACGGCAAGCGATTCCATCACACGTTTCGTCTCGTTGGCACGCTTATGGCTCACCGATTGAGTGACTCGTTGCACGAGACGGTAATATGGCCGGATTGGCAAAACGTTGCATCCAAAGATGTTCGATGGATTACTCCTCGTTCAATTCCACGCCGATGAGATGTTATGTGTGTGTGTGTTTAACAAACAAAAAATCACCAATCATCGCACGCGTGGCGTCGTCCATCGGGACAATTTGCGCGTGTCCCGCAAGTGGCGAAGGTGGCGAAGGTGGCAACGGTCGAAGCGCCTGGTGCAACCCGCCCCACTTATTGACGAGCGCGCGTGGATGATGTAGGACGGCGAGCTGACAGCTGCAAGTGTCGTGTCCCGGAGACGAGCGCTGATTGACTGCGGTGTCGGCTCAGCGTTGTTGATTAAATTCCACATCGCGCGCTTCTCGTGGGGCGCTTACGGGTGCTGAAGGTCAACTTAAAGCAAGAGGAGAAGCTTTGTCGAGGTGGGGGGGGACAAGACAAGGGGGGGGGGGGAGACGCGTTACACTCTTTTTGCACGGTGCAAAAAAATTAATGACGTTTAACCTGCCGCGTGCTTTTCTGTTCGGACAAACAATAGAATAAAGCCACCCACCCCTACGGTGGCAACGCCGTTGCAATGGACTGCACTGCAAGCGATATCACGCGGTGGCAGGGTGCGGATCTGCCGTTCCATATTCTCTGACTGCCCAGTGACTCTGTGTGCTGCGGGGGAGGGAGGGAGTGGTGGGGAGAGTCGTCCGTCCTGCCGTTGAACGATGCGCGTCCCGCGTAATGATGTCTGATGACTGGAGAGTTTAGTGTTTCCCTCGCAAGCATCATTTCTGGCCTCGATGAGCGAGACGCGTGTCTAGACGCGTGTCTAGGAGTGGAGGGAGGGTGTGGGTGGCTTTAACCCTCGTGGCGTTGCCTTGGCACCGGCGAGGAGTGGATTGTGGGCTCCGTGCCGCTGCCCCGCAGGGCTCGCCGGCATATGCGCCCTCTTTTTGCCCGTTGGAAGAAAATCGTCAAAAGGCACCGCGGGGTTAATCGCACCTCGCGTTTACACTTTCCGTCGAGTGTCGAAAGCGTTGACCGCACGAGCTCCGTCGTTTGTCTGTCGGCAATTGCAGTAGAGAGTGTTCGGACGTCACTCTCGGAGGGATGATCCGGCGTGAACGAAACTCAACTGCGTGGAGTTGCGTTGCCGTCAGGGACTGGCAGTGCCAGATTAAGCGAGTTGCGGGGCCTGTGGCATATGTTATGAAGGGGCCTTGAATAAAAAAAAACACGTAAATATTAAAACACGCATTTTTTACTTGCACAGTAAAGTAATTATATGTTTTCATTTGCTATACAGTCAGATAATACGACAAAATTCTAACCTTAAACACCCATTCGTTCATAAAAGTTGAAGGCGGTATCTAATTATAATAGCCCAGGTCTGTCCTTCTGTCATTCTGTGACTGTGATTAACGCCCCCTGAATGATTGAAGTGCGTCGCGTGACCGCGCCCCCCCCCCCCCCCCGCGGATTGGTTAAAGTTCGTCACGTGACCGCGAGCTGCCCACTTCGTGTTGTGGTGCCCCCCGCACCTCGGAGGCACGAGAAGCAGCAACATGACGTCCACAGCGTCGGAGACGCAGCCACGGAGAGCTGACGGTCGATCCACTCACACACAGCTCACTCATACACACAGCTCACTCACACTCACTCACGGCTCACTCACACAGCTCACTCACTCACACAGTTCACTCACACACAGCCCACTCACACAGCTCACTCACACAGCTCACTCACTCATACTCATACACATGTAATAATCCTTTTGAGACGGCTTCGGAATCGGTCCTTTTTATTTCCACTTCCACAATACACTTTACTCACACACTCTCCGTTGCTGGCAGACAACAGAGAGCGGGCAGACTTCACACCAAGTTCCCACCGCGCACGTGGCACCCAGAGCCCCCGTACGCGCGTGGCTCTTGCTCTGCTCGTTCCCCAGTTTGCTCTCGATCGTTCTCTCTCTCTTAATCCCTTCGTCACGTGGTACCCCCCAGCCAATCCTCCGTAGACAACATTGACCATTCTCGATGGTTCCCTGTTCAAGTTCAAGTTCATTTATTAGGTATAGCCCTGTGAGCCATTCAGCTCTTGAATCTGGTGCAACCGCAACAAACAAAAAACAAAAAACATGAACAAAAAACATCTTAAAGTGAATATGTGACTAAGTGCAAACAGAAAATCCAAGAAAAGACAGCAAAAATATTGCAGAAAAAACACCGTACACCAACGCTGTGTGCAAAAATCTCAGTGGGATGCAAGTCAAACAACAACAACAACCACAAGACAACTTAGATTAAGGCCATCAGTCTAACTCTGTACTACAACAACACAAACATGGCTAAACCAATACACTTTTCGAAATCACCAAAATAAAGCCATGAAAGCAATGAAAAAGCAATCATAGGAACTGTGACGGAATTTTCACAATAAATGGCATAAACAACATGTACTACCAAAACCCTGCAGCCATAGCTGGCTGCATGAGTCACTCCACAACAGCAGGAGCATCAATCGGAGTATTGTAAATTTTCAATGCACCTTTAAGATCAGCACACTAAATCAAAACACAGGTCATACTTTGTAGCGATCATCCAGAGCGAAACATTTTATTTTAGGTCACTGAATAGCACTGGCAGCTAGGGGTGTACAACTCCTCTAAAGCAGTTTTGAGTGAAGATCTCATAGGTAGTGACTCAAGTTTCAATTTATTTGCAACAGCATTCCAGACCCTGGGGGCATCAATAGCAAAGGCCCTTCCTCCAGTATATGTACGGCAATAGGGAATATTAAGCTGGTAAATGAGTGTAGACCTTAGGTCAAATTTGTTCTTTGAAACAGAGACGAGATCCAGCAGGTAATCTGCAGATTTTTTTGCAAGTACATCATGAATAAATAAGATCTGGTGCACAAGCCGTCGAACATTCAGAGATGTTAAGTTTGACCCAATGTAGAGATCACAGTGGTGAGTCCTATATGGGCAGTTCAATGCAAATCTTAAGGCCAAATGATACATTGAGTCAAGCTTCTTCAGTACAGTACTTGGGGCTGATTTATACACAATGTCACAGTAATCAAGTAGAGGCAGTACGGTAGCTTTAATCAATTCCAAACGGAACATAGGAGGGAAGCAGTGCTTGTGTCGATATAGAAAACCAATTTTAATTTTTGTCTTTTTCCCAATATAATCAATGTGATCTTCAAAATTCAGTTTTGAATCCAGGATGACCCCAAGATACTTATAGATCTTGACTTGCTCTATTTGATCATTATTTAAGGTATGTAATTGGGGAAAAATAACTTCCCGCTTTAGTCCTGGTGAGAAGCATAGCACCTTGGTTTTGGCAGGATTTAGGACTAGTTTAAGAGCAACTAGCTGATGTTGTAGTTTGTTGAAATCACTCTGGAGCTTAGCAATCACGTCATCCGGAGAGCGGCCAGCAGTAATTAGTACCGTGTCATCTGCAAAAAGATTTACCCTGGAATAATCCAGTTCAGTGCCCAAGTCATTTACATAAAGAGAGAACAAGAGGGGGCCGAGAATGGAACCCTGTGGAACCCCTTTTGTTATCTTAACACTGTTTGACCTCCAACCCTCTGTGAATACAGTTTGGGTGCGAGAAAAGAGGTAATTTTTTAACCATTTTACTGTGTTTTCGGAAAAACCGAGGCAACTTATTTTACTAAGCAGGATGTTGTGGTCTACTGTATCAAAAGCTTTGGACAAGTCAAGAAAAAGACAGGCGCAGTACTGCTTATTATCAAGGCTACTGTAAATGTGATTCAGAGAGTCTAATGCAGCAGATGTGGTGCTGTATTTTTTTCGGAACCCAGATTGTTTTAGATGTAATAGATTGTTGGCGGACAGGAAACTGCTAATTTGGTAGGTCAATAATTTTTCAAAAATTTTCATCAACGGGGACAAAATTGAGATAGGTCGGTAGTTATTTGGATCATCTTTAGGGCCCCCTTTGTGAAGTGGACGAACATAGGAATGTTTCCATTCTAGAGGAACTGATGCTTCTTTGATGGACAGGTTGAAAATATGGGCTATAGGTTTGTATATTAGGTGACCAACAGTTAGTAGAGCAAAGACGGGAATACTATCTGCTCCGGTAGAGGAGGACCCTTTGAGGTAGGACAGTTGTTTCAGAACATTACTTTCGTGGATTGGCTGAAAACTAAATTCGCTTAATGTTTGGACAGGAGTGTAGGAATTTGCATGAGCAGGGGTGACTCCCAATACATTATCAAATAGGGTACCAGCTTCAGAAAAATGAAGGTTAAAATTGTCAACTATTTTTTGGGGATCTGAAAAATATTCCCCATTTCGGTTAAGCTGAACGGGCAGATGATCTGTTTTGGATGCCTTTTCGATACATTTGATTGTTTTCCAGAAAATCCTGGCATTTCCATGAGATTCAAGGAGAGTGGAAGAGAAGTAGTTATTTTTTGCATGCCGTATTTTTTTTGACGCATATATTCCTTAAAATCCTGTATTTTAGCCAGTCATTGACCAAATTACTTTTCTGAGCACATGCCCAAGCCTTGTCCCTAGTTTTCATGAGCTTTGTAATCAAAGGATCAAACCATGGTGGACGGTTGCCTTTAGTTTTAAATTTAACCAACGGAGCATGTTTGTTAAGAATTTGGAGAAACGTGTACCTGAAGGTCTCCCAAGCCGTAGTCAGGTTTGGAATATCACAGACCTTGTCAATATCCGAGTGAAGCACATCATTAGTAAATGCCTGAGTGCTGAAGTGTCTCATGGAGTGCTTCTCAACCAATTTAGGGGGGGCTTTGGGTCTGGCTGATGATCTCACCCCAAAAATGAAGGAGTGATCACTAAGGTTATTACCTAGAACACCAGTCAGTGCGAAATTGTGAGGGGCATTTGTCAATAGGACGTCAAGCAGAGATGACTGTCCCGGATTTTTTAGGTTGGGTCTTGTGGGGACATTTATTAATTGAAACAGGTTAAATTCATCTGCAAAATTTGTGGCCACGGCCGGCGGGTTTAGCCAATTCCAATTTAGATCACCCACTAAAACTATTTCACCTTTAGGGAGACCCCCAAGAAGCTCTCTCAGTGCAGATGCAGCTTCAACATCCTTCCCACTAGGCGGTCTATAGCAGCACACTACCAATATGTGTTGATTATTAGAGAGAGTTATTCTGAGAGCCAGACCTTCAAAGCAACATTTTTTAAACAAGGAGTGAGCTGGTGAACATGCAATAGTATTACGAACATAGATGGCAATTCCACCTCCTTTAGATCCTCGGTCAAGCCGAAAAAGATTGTAGTTGTCAATCGTAATCTGCAAGTCATTGACGGCAGGAGTGAGAAATGTTTCTGTCAATCCCGGGACCACGCCTCTGATCCGGCTCCCCATTAGCTGGGGCCCCGAATGGCCAGGCCACTCCCCCCTGCTAACACGCCGCTATCACGCAGAGGCCATGTTCCCTGTCTCAACCCTTATTGGCTGCAAAGCAGGACCGGCAAGCCAATCCCCACGTGAACCCTCTATGGCTGTTATTATACACACACAGCTCACTCACTCACACTCACTCACTCATACACACTCACTCACACTCACTCACTCATACACACTCACTCACACTCAACAACAACAACCGCCATTCGCCACTAAGTGGCGGTGACGTCACCACGACGCTTGTGCCAGGCCATGTTACAACTTGAGGCCACGTGAAGTGTCGAACGCCCGCTGGCAGGAGGTCACGGGGCAGACCCAGGTGCCACGGGTCAACTGACCGAGATGACTGAGATGACTGGCTGATGCACCAGCTGTGCCCCCTACTGTACCAACTTGCTGTGCTTTAGCCACCCGGCGCTCCGCTCGTTGTTGTGAGCGTCGCTCCTCCGCTCTCCGTTGTTGTTGGAGGGCGACTGCCTCCAACTGCCCAGTAGCGTCCTTCACGAGCCTCCTCCACAGAGGCCGATCTTGACACCGCTGGTACCAGTCATCGGCAAGTCCACTCAGCTCCACGTCCTCCTGTACCACATCACTCCATCTCTTCTCTAGCCTGTGCCGCGCCCGTTTAGCCCCCTCGATCCGGCCGAACAAAAGCTGTTTAGGCATGCGGTGGCTGGG